GCAACAATTTTATTTCTTATTTCTTATTCATGCTGGAATGGTAACAGCATATATATTTATTAATAAGGGATTGGTTGGGGACTTCCTTGGCATTCCAGTGGTTAGGACTTTGCCTTCCAATGCAGCAGTACGGGTTTGATCTTCGGTTGGGCAGCTATCTCACATGCCTTCTGACCATAAAAACCAAAACATAAGACAGAAGCAGTATTGTTACAAATTCAATAAAGACTTTAAAAATGGTTCACATCAAAAAATAATAAAAGGTTGGTCATGGTGACATAGAATGTAATATTATATAACCTGTAAACTGGTAAAACTAGAATTGTCTATTGATGTGGAAAGATATCTAAGATCTAGAAGATGGGCTATACCAAGACATATTTGTGTTTTTCTTTCTCCCATTTATGTGGAGATGCTCATACTGATATCTCCTAAATCCTGAAAGATTATACCAATCTGTTAATAGTAATTTTTTTCAGCACAGTGTACTTGCTGGAGGAATTAACTTTCTCTACATTTCTTGCATTTTTGTTGTTGTTAAGTAGTGCAGTCATGTCTGACTCTTTGCGACTCCATGGACTGCCATACACCAGGCTTCCCTGTCCATCACCAACTCCCGGAGCTTGCTCAAACTCATGCCCATTGAGTCGGTGATGCCATCCAATTGTCTCATCCTCTGTTGTCCCTTTTTCCTTTTGCCTTTAGTCTTTCTCAGCATCAGGGTCTTTTCTAGTGAGTCAGTTCTTCACATCAGGTGTCCAAAGTATTGGAGCTTCAGCTTCAGCATCAGTCTTTCCAATGAATATTCATGGTTGATTTCCTTTAGGATTGACTGGTTTGATGTCCTTGCATTCCAAAGGACTTTCAAGAGTCTTCTCCAGCACCACAGTTTGAAGGCATCAATTCTTTGGTGCTCAGCCATTTTTATTATCCAACTCTGACATCCATACATTACTACTGAAAAAAAAATAGTTTTGACTATACACGCCTTTGTTGGCAAAGTAATGTCTGTGCTTTTTAATACACTGTCTAGGTTTGTCATAACTTTTCTTCCAAAGAGCAAGCATCTTTTAATTTCATGGCTGCAGTCACCATATGCAGTGATTTTGGAACTCAAGAAAATAAGGTATCTTACTGTTTCCATTGTTTCCCCATCTATTTGCTATGAAGTGATGGCATGATCTTAGTTTTAAATATGATCAGCCTTTTAAAATATGGTTATATATGATCTGAAAAAATATTACCATTTTGAGGGAAAAACATAACAAGTGACAGAAGTGTTGAGAGTGTCACCATTTTATCTAGGTTGGATGTGTCCCTATTTTATAAGTTTCAGATGAAGAGTTAAGGTAGAACTTGTGTTTTGGGTGCCATCAAAGAAGGAGATTTTCTCCAAATTGTGCATTTTCTTTCTGGTAAGAATACCTCATGATCACTATAGAAATTTAAATAAACCATGAAATGTGTAAAGAAAAGAAAAATTGGGGGAATTCTCTGGTGGTCTAGTGATTAGAACTCTGCACTTTCAATGGGGAAGGCCCATGTTCAGTCCCTGTTGTGGAACTACGATCACATAGTCAAAAAAAAGAAAAGAAAAGAAAAATCACTTAGCATACATTCCCAGAAATACCTACTTTTATTACCTCTAGTTATTTTGTTAAGTTACCAGTTGTTTAGTAAGTTTAGTAATATATTTTTATTTCTATGGTTGTGTCTTTCCCTACTGTCTTTTAAATCACTGGAAGTTTTTGATTCTCCAAGTATTTCTGAGTTGTGATAGATTAAGGAAAGGTTAAGAAAACCAAGATTTCACTAGTTGATAGCATCAGTCTCTTTTAGGGCTTGTAAAGGTTATAAATGGTTTTTCCAGTAGTCATGTATGCATGTAAGAGTTGGACTATAAGGAAAGCTGAACGCTGAAGAATTGATGCTTTTGAACTGTGATGTTGGAGAAGACTCTTGAGAGTCCCTTGGACTGCAAGAAGATCAAACCAGTCAATCCTAAAGGAAATCAGTCCTGAATATTCATTGGAAGGACAGATGCTGAAGCTGAAACTCCAATCCTTTGGCCACTTGATGAGAAGAACTGACTCATTGGAAAAGACCCTGATGCTGGGAAAGATTGAAGGCGGGAGGAGAAGGGGACAACAGAAGATGGGATAGTTGGATAGCATCACCAACTCGATGGACATGAGTTTGAGCAAGCTCTGGGAGTTGGTGATGGACAGGGAAGCCTGGCGTGCTGCAGTCCATGGGGTCACAAAGAGTTGGACACGACTGGGCTACTGAACTGACTGAAAGGTTCTACAGAGTATTTTGATTCAAGGCCCGTGTAATGGGAGACAGACATAAAGATTATCAAAAGTGTTTCCAAGATAGTCTTAGGGGAAAATTTAAGTGTTAAGTGATAATAACCTTTATGAATTTGCTTACATCAGTTTTGGTCACAATACTCAAGAGGCAGAGTGACTAGTTCAGCAGAAGTACTTAAATAAATATTTGTCAAATAGACAAAACGGGGTGGGGAGGCTCTGAAAACACAAAAACTGAAAGTGTAACTTGAAAATGCAGGCCAGTAAATGAACTGAGTGCTGTGAACCATTCAAGGATGGAAATCTAATTAATTCCTAGGAAAACAAACTGATCTTGCTCTTAGTTTTGCAGACTAGAATTTATGGATAGTTTTAAGACTTGGAAGATGGCAGATAGATGATACCAAAATTAAAGTGCAAAACATGAAAGGTCTTTAGGGCCATTTACTGAAATCTGCTTAATTTTATACATAATTTTGGTTTCCTAGTAAAGTAATCTGGAGAAGGAAATGGCAACTCACTCCAGTGTTCTTGCCTGAGAAATCCCATGGACAGTGGGCTGCTATCCTGGGGTTGCAAAGAGTTGACACTTAGGGACTAAGCACAATAGAGTATTCATGGTGAATGGAAGGCCTGGGATATGTCAAAGTGCTTTCCTTACCCCCTTTAAAAAAACAAAACAGGAAACTCACCACTTTTCCCAGACTTCCGTTGATTCTGTTAGTCACTTAATATTTTCACCTCTATTTGGGCTGGCGTTTTGTTCCACATAAAAGGTGAAATGTCTTTTCTTGTTACATAAATAAGAAATACATCACCTTCATTAAAATTTTCTCTGGATTTTTAGAAATTAAATTATAACCACAAATAACCTTTTTTGTCATCAATTAAAAAATTAAGTTACAAAGGTACTATAGAGAGTAACTTTTATTCTGGGCTTCCCAAGTGGCTCAGTGTCTGCCAAGCAGGAGATGTGGGTTCGATTCCCAGGTCAGGAAGATCCTCTGAGGAAGGAAATGGCAACCCACTCCCGTAGTTTTGCCTGGGAAATCCCATGGACAGAGGAATCTGGTGGGCTACAGTCCAGGGGTGTGCAAAGAGTTGGACTCAACTTAGGGACTGAACAACAGTGACAACAAAAACCTTTATTCTCATCCACTATTTATATGTTCTGTTTGGCTTTCTTGGTTAGCCTTTCTTTTTTTTTTTTTTTTTTTTTTTTTGCTACCCCATGGACTATAGCCCACCAGGCTCCTCTGTCCATAGGATTTCCCAGCAAGGATACCAGAGTGGGTTGCCATTTCCTCCTCCATTGGTTAGCCTTTCTTAATAGTCATACTTTTTTTTAATCATCCAGATGGAGTACTTGTGTTAACAACAAAAACAGCAGAAAGTATTGAAAAAGTTAGTTTTCTTTGGAAATGGTACATAAGAATGAGTTAGGAAGTTATTTAGTGTCTGGAGTGTTTCTTTCAGCTCCAACTGACTCAAATTTCTTTCTAAAAAAAAAAAAAATGGTTGTTCTACTCTAAGACTCTGGTGAATATAATCTTTACCTCATCGACTCCTTTTCATCTATATTAAATTTAAATCTTTTTGTTTATTTTTAAACTCTGACACCCAAGCCTGCTTATGTAATGCTTGCGAACTCTGCTGTTTATGCAAAGATACACTGACTCTAGGGCAGAGGGTGAGATGGGAACCCAGAACCGCACAGAAGTCAAAGCAGCCTATTTAGTGGATTCCTTGAGAATTAGGTTGGAAAAGGAAAGAAGTGGTGAGCAGCTACAAGAAAGACACCCAGAGTGAATGAAATACAGCCAGGCAGTGGAGGCAGGTCGGCAGATGGGAAAGCGTAGATGTGGTGTTGGAAATCTTGTTATAGCCTACCTTTTATGTGGACTCTGAACGTGATCCTTCAAGAAACAAACAAAAGATCCTTGAAGACCTGTTTTTCATGAAGTACCTTGTGTGGACACTCAATACACATTATTGCCCACGTTGATGACACTTTCCTTGACAAGCTGGGTAATATAGTCCTATTAGACAGATGAAGAAATTGAGGTTTAAGGGAATTAAGTAAGACTTCCCTGGTAGCTCAGGCGGTAAAGCTTTCCACCTACAGTGCGGGAGATCTGGGAATTAAGTAGCTTGCCCGAGATCACATAGCTAGTAAAGGGTGGGATAAAACTGAAGCCAGATGTGTCTCTCTAGCTGGACTGATTTCAGAATATATATATATTTTTTAATTTCAGAATATATTCTTTAGTACCAGTGCATTTACAATTGGTGGTAACTCATGAGGGTTGTTAATCCTTAAATTCAGGGATTCTGTTCTGAGTAGAGTTGTTACTGCTGCTACCAAAAGAGGGATTTTTCTGGGCTCTGGAAGTCTAGCACCTTGAACATCCTGGTGTTTGCATCTTTGGAAATACCTTTCTTCCCCTTCAGGTCTCAGTTCCACCCTTTCCAGATGAATCACCTTGGGCAAGGGTTGGGGGAGGTTTATGAGGAGGTAGAGGGTTGCTGCTTCTGCCTTTTAAGCTTCATTGTCCTCATTAGTGAATAGGGCTCAACAGTTTTTTCTGAGGATTAAATTAACTTCGTGTGTGTATTTAAGTATACAATTCCTACAAATTGGTTACAGAGAGATATGAATGTTATAATGAAACATTTCTCCCCTTGTAGGTCTTCTGGAATTTTCTGTGGGGAAATTTAGATACCTGGAGCTCAAGAAGCCCTTTCCAGAGGAAGCTATTTTGCGTCATATTTCCAGCAATGTTACTTTTGTTATTTTCCAAATACACTCACAGTATCAGAATACAACAATTTCTTTTTCTGAGGTAAGTACAGAGTTACTTCCATAAAAACTATTTCCACAATTTGGTATCTTGTATTTAGTGTGAGCATTAGAAATTAATGCCTCTTTTTGTGTTAAATTTTTAAAAGATCAAGACTGAGTCCTGTCAAGTTAGTAATTTAGGCTGGCTAGGAGGTGAATATCTAAGGACTTTCTTGAGTGGTGACCTCTGACCTAAAAGACGAGTGATGCTGCCGAGTTTGGGGGGAGGGCGGCTTATACCAAATGTCTCCTGCCTGCAGTTAGGCTTTCCTCATACTTCCTACTTTTTCTTTTTCTTTTTCTTACCCTACTGAGTCCTTAGTGATTTTTACCTGCGAATACATTTCAATGGATTTCTGTGGTTGTTCAGCCATTTAGTGTTGAAGTTTACTAAGACGCCTAATAGGATCATCTTTATTCTTTAGAGTTTCATCGAAATAAAAAGGATTCTAACTCTCAGTTTAACCAGAGCAGTGCTGGGCTCCCAGCAGCATTTGAGACCTTCTTACAGAGGTCCTCACTAAACCCCTGAAACTTAACCTCATCTCTGGGAAGTTTTCAAATATCCTGAATCAGCTGAATCCATTAAGGCTTTGCCATTTCTGTTACCCTTTACAGATCTACTTATTTTTAGTCCATATGACCCCTTAGACTAATACATGAATTTCACTCTGTATGAAGTTGTGCTGCATTTTTATTTGTCCTCAGGCTACCTTCTGGCTTCCCTTGTAGCTCAGCTGGTAAAGAATCCGCCTGCAATGCAGGAGACCCTGGTTCAATTCCTGGGTTGGGAAGATCCCCTGAAGGAGGGTATGGCAACCCACTCCAGTATTCTTGCCTGGAATAATCCCCATGGACAGACGAGCCTGGCAGGCTACAGTCCATGGGGTCGCAAAGAGTCGGACATGACTGAGAAACTCAGCACAGCACAAGCCTACCTTCTAATATTCTGGAATTTGCTAAATGAAGCTATCTTCATCCAGTCGCTATAGATTTTATGGACATTGGTCGTAGTATCTTTCACACTAAGTGTTTTGTAATTTTTGCTCCTGCCTTCCTGCCCCTACCACAAAGGTTTTGAAGATGTGTGTGTGTGTGGTGGTTTGATAGACTAGATATGGGGGCTTTCCTGCTGGCTCTGTGGTCAAGAATCCTCCTGCCAATGCAAGAGCCATGGGTTCAATCCCTGATTCAGGGAGATCCCACGTGCCATGGAGCACAGCTAAGCCCATGTGCCACGACTGTTGAGCCTGTGCTCTGGAGCCCGGGAGCCACAACTAGTGAGCCCATGTGCTGCGACTACTGAGGCCTGAGCACCCCAGAGCTGGTGCTGTACCCCGAGAAGCCAGCATCACGAGAAGCCTGCGCACGGTCAACGGAGAGTAGCCCGTGCCCGCCACAAGCAGAGAAAAGCCCATGCAGCAAGTAAGACCCAGCACAGCCCAAAATTAGTAGACTAGAAGTGGAAGGGTTGGATCGAGGAAAAGAGGAAAGAATAAGTTATACTAATTGAAGATATAATAGTGTGTATGACCCGTACATTGATTTTGTGGGAGGTCTTTACAGCCAGAGCAGAAATCAGAGCTTGTTGAATTTCATAACTTCCTTAGAAGGAAAAAACATACTCATTCATCAGGGAGAAGCCAAGTTTTTTTCTGGCACTGAATTCAAAGGGAAACTTTCTATTCAGGCACTTACCTAGGAGACATAGTAAAATGGCACATAGGTGATTTCCTTCTTCATAACATCACAGCAAAGACAACATTTGAAGGAAGAGATGGGGTGGAGAAAAAAAATGCAGTTCTATTTATTGCATGCCTGCTGTGTGCTAGGCCAGTGATCCTTGAGCTCCTGGGGCCAAAGACTTGGTGTCTGCTGAAATCATGGACTCTCTACCTGGCAGAATGTATGACATCTGTATAATTTCATGGGGGTCTCTGGAAATGCATTGAGCCTCCTAGTTAGGACCCCTTGCATTTGGTTTTCCATGTAGTTAATTTAATTCTTATAACAGTTCATCCAAGTAGTCCTAATGTTTATTTTTACTTTTGAGGAAATGGGGGTTAGGTGACGGGGTTCTTGCATGACTGATGTGACAAAATTGGCCTGGATGAGCAGCATCTTGGGTCTCAGTTTTCATGCAGAAAAGATCTTAGTTATCCTTAATGATAATCATGTTCCTTTCTTGGGCTGCCTTTAATCTCACTATATTTATACTGCTGAGAAGATGATAACTAGAACTGCGTATAATTCTAGAAGGGAGTGGTCTGCATGAAGAGAGCTGTTTCTGTTCTAACTTCCTGATGACATGTGACACCTTGGAGTTTTGGGGTCATCTTGGCAGTGAGTTCTTTGAAACTCTTGACCCTTAAGTTCCTTAGTCATTCTCTCACGCTTGTCAAACTGAAACCCACATAGCACTTTTTTCTTCCCATTTTCTTCTTGTTCAGTTGCTCAGTCGTGTCTGACTCTTTGCGACCCCATGGACTGCAGCCCACCAGGCTTCCCTGTCATTCACTATCTGCTGAAATTTCTCAAACTCATGTCCATCGAGTTGGTGATGTCATCCAACCATCTCATCCTCTGTCGCCCCCTTCTCCTCTTGCCCTCAGTCTTTCCCAGCATCAGGGTCTTTTCCTTAACTTTAAGAAAACACTCTGAATCTACTACCTCTCAACTTTAGTAGTTTGTTACTCAAAAAGCTTTCCCAGCAGATGGGGGGAGGGGATGAGAGAGTATGGGGGTGTGAGGAAGAGTAAGCTGCTGCTGCTAAGTCGCTTCAGTCATGTCGGACTCTGTGCGACCCCATGGACTGCAGCCCACCAGCCTCCTCCATCCATAGGATTTTCCAGGCAAGAGTACTGGAGTGGGGTACCATTTCCTTCTCCTGAGGAGGAGTAAGAACAGGGCACAAAGATGATCTCTGTGTTCACTGCCCTGGTCTTGGTGATGGTTTCCCAGGTGCCTGCATTTATCAAAACTTATATTGGTATACTTTATGTGTAATTTATAATATGTAAATTATAACTCTGTTTTTTAAAAAACTTTTCAAGGACCGACCGAACTATTTGGGGGCAGAGCTTCTATATTTTGTCTTGGTAGTGGTCAAGTTAATTTGTATATCAGGACCACAAATGGAGGCCACCCTAAGTGACTTGGCCCACGTCACAAATCTAAACCTAAGACTGCACTTACAGGGAATGCCTGTCAAGGAAACCTAACTTACACTGATCACAATCCTCCAGCTCAGCTTAACCAGCTCACTTTACCTTAAAAATAGGACTTGCTCGTCTTCTGACTAAATCCCAACCTCCTAACCCAGCTTGTTCTTCTAATGCTCTAAAAAGCTAGTTCATGCTCCATATCCCTTGGGAAGCACACTCTATATCTCGTGAGGCACTGTCCTCCCCCAATCCATCAGTGGTGTTGTGTTGAATAAAGGACATCAGACTTGTACTGAACTGCTTTAGTTTTGTCATTTCCATGGAAGTCCTTAACCCAGTAGTCTTAGTACTTGAAATGCGTGCTAAGTCAATTCAGTCTTGTCTGACTCTTTCTGACCCCATGGACTGTAGCCCACTAGGCTCTTCTGTCCATGGAATTCTCCAGGCAAGAATACTGGAGTGGGTTGCCATCCCTTCCTCCAGGGGATCCTCCCGAACCAGGGATCGAACCCTCATCTCTTATGTCTCCTGCATTGGCTGGCAAGTTTTTACTGCTAGCAACACCTGCGAAGCCAAGTACTTGACATAGTAAATCCTCACTGAAGGGACTGAAAAGCTTGGGAATGTTATTGTGTATCTGCTATTCCTGATCAAAGAGTGTATATTTTAAATAATTCCTCCATGTATCTCTGTGGGCACATGCACATAGAGGTGAAAGTAATTCTTTAGTCAACTATTTGGTTTGGAGAAGCTTTGGAATAGGGCATGCACTAGATTCACTGTGGCATTGAAACACTTGGTTCAACTGCTGATTTGCAGTGACCCTTCTTTCCTTGTTGCAGGCTCTCCTTCCTAATGCCTCGGGGACGGGCACTGACAAAGGACTGGTTTCCATTCTTAGACCAGAGCAGAGTATGTGCACTTGGCACTTGGAGACATTAGACCCTGAGCCTGTCCAAAATGTGGCCATTCCACTGTCCTACTCGGAAAGCGGTAACCTTTCTATCAACTCCTTATTACTGTCCAGAATGCAGGACTTGTGGGTGAGAATTTAGAGATAACTATAATCCTATTAAAAGTGTTTGCTATAAGTATAGTACTTTGAATTGGAAAGGTTTTAACAGCGGGGGGAGTCAGAGAATTAGCATGATGAGTGAAAGCCAAGGAAGGGACTAGGACTAGAAGAACACATGTATTCATTTGGAAGACACTGGAGGAGCCCTTGGAGAAGCTGTAACTGAAAGTCATGTCAAGAGGAGGGGTCGATTCATGTTGATGTATGGCTGGGACCAATACAATATTGTAAAGCAATTATCCTTCCATTGAAAATAAATTAAAAAAAAAAAGGCAAGACATGATCCTCACACATTAGTTGATGGTTCTAGGCAGAGGAAGGAGAAGGGAGAAGAATGGGGTATTTGGAGAATGGTGGACAGTGGGTGTGGCTGGAGCCAGAGTGTGAAGGTCCTGATATATAATGTGAGGTCTGCATTCTTTACTGAGGCAGCGTGGAGACTTGAAGCAGAGGAATGACCTGATGCCTTTCCTCTCTTCGAAGGTTAACCCTAGAAGCAGTGTGGGGAGTGGATTGGAGGGGGCATAGCAGAGTCAAGACAGCACGACTTTCAGGACTCAAAATGAGAAATGAAGGTTTGAACAGAGGCCCTGAGAAGGGGAAGGAGGACGGGCTGGATTTGAGAAATTTGGAATGTGGAATTACAAGATACAATGACCAGTGGTTATGGATTGTTACAAGTGGGGAGCACAGACTTCCCACTTGGGCAGCTGGGAGATGATCAGAATAGTGATCAGGTGGGGTATTTGTGGTGCTGGATGTTCTAGGTGGTTGGGATGGGGTTAGATGGTGACTTCAGTTTGGCACAATGAATCTGAGACACTTGTAGGATATCTGGATGGACTTGCACAGTAGGCAGCTGAAAATAAGGGCCTAGGGTGGAGGAGTCGGGTTAGATATCCAACTGAACAGCTGAATAGCTGCTAGTAAAGTCATGGAAGTAAGTGAGGTCATCCAGGCATGAACTGAGAGATTTAGGGATGAAAATTATAGCAAATAATTTCCTAGTGCCTGCCACAGTTTCTGGGGGGATGTTAACTGCTGAAGAAGACTAAGGAGTGGATAGACAGTGAGAAGAGAGACTGGACACCCAGCATTATAAGAAGTAAATAGGTAAATAGGTAAATAGGACTTTGCAGAGAGGTCAAGAGAGTGACTGAAAACATCCTTATGGTGGCACAAGCCAGAGTCAGTGGTGGCCTTTAATGAGAGTCATTTTAGTGACACCATGAGGATAAAAACCAGATCATAGTGATTGAGGAGTGAAGGCGAGAGGAGGAGATTTACATTCTCTTAAAGTTTTGTGGTAAAGGGAAGGAGAGGTTGCAATACCTAGAAAAGGAGGTAGAATTCCAAAAAGCGATGAGAGTTGAAGAAAAACAATTATATTTAGCCAAAGGGTAATTACTTGATTTAAAAAATGATAAATGTCAAGCTTTCATCAAGGTCAGTGTACGAAGAAAATTAGTGAGAGTGGAGTGTCAGTTACAGTACACATGCTTTTCTCGGGTGTGCTAAATGTTTGTAAATACAGGAGAAGAGTGTGAAAGAAGAACATAGAATTCCAAGGAAGAGTCTGCTGTGAAGCAGTGTGCACAGGGTGTCTCCGGAGCTGCAGAATTCCAGCAGTTTATGGAAATTAAGAACCAGCTGTGGGAACGATTGAATGAGTTTATGAAGCTGAGATCTTAAAATACTTTAAACTGGTTTACCTTCTTGTGTCTTAACTTCTCCACTTGAGCCCACCATACCCAGTTCTTTGCATGGAATTGAACTAATGTCAAGGCAGTTCTTGAAGTTTTGTCTTGGTTAAAGGTTATGAATAGGATTCCTAATAAGAGCTGTTTTGACCATATTATGAATGTAAATTAAATACCCCAAGCGGATTCCCTGGTGGTGTTAGTGGTAAAGAACCTGCCTACCAATGCAGGAGATGCGGGTTTGATCTCTGGGCTGGGAAGATCCCTTGAAGGAGGGCATGGCAACCATCTCCAGTATTCTTGCCTGGAGAATCCCATGGTCAGAGGAGCCAGGTGGGCTATGGTCCACAGGGTCACAAAGAGTCAGACACAACTGAAGTGGCTTAGCATGCAGGCATGCAGATACCCCAGATTTATTTTGTGTTTAATTGTGCACATGCTATGTCTAATACATGATCCTGGGGTTCTTGAGATCTTTTATTTTTTCCTCTTTTATGTATACACAGACTCTTCCAGCGAGGATGAGAGGTTGACACCATCTTTCTCCCTGTTGAAAGAGTTAAGTGAAAAGTGGACACCCCTTTTCTATTTACCAGGATCTAATGAAAACTGCTCAGAATCTAAAGAAAATGTGTTTAGGAAATGCACGCATTCAACATTTGGCATATAATTTTTGGGTGTTCACGGAGCTCCTGAAACCCATTCTTGGACCCCAGCTTCAGAATTGCTGTCTCTTCTGATGTTTTCAACTCTAGAGCATAGGTTGGCAAATTGCAGAGCGCAAGGCAAAGCCAGCTCACGGACTGTTTTGTGCATGAAGTCTTATTAGAACACAGCCATTCACTTACATATCATCTGTGGTTGCTTTCCTGCCACGGGGCAGCTGCCACAGAGACCAGAGAGTCTGAACAGCTTCTAAAATATTTACTATCTGGCCCTGTACAGAAAAGGTCTTCCACAGCCCATCACCTCATATAACTTTACCCTCAGTCCATGAGGTAGGACAAAGCTAGAAGCTGTCCTCTGAACTTCTATGTTGGGTGTTCTTAAAAGAGTGGCGTTCTGTTTTTCTGAGTATGCTTTGACTGTATCAGAATTCTAAGTAACTTCCTGGTTTCCCATCTAGATCCTATCCCTGGTGGCTGTAATTTGGAGTTTGATGTAGATATCGATCCAAACATTTACTTGGAGTATAATTTCTTTGAAACAACTATCAAATTTGCTCCAGCAAACCTAGGCTATGCGAGGTATGTCTCCCAACTCCCAAAACTCTTTTTAGGATAAGCATGACTCACTGTTGTGTAGACTGAGTAAATTCTCTCAAAATCCATAGTTCTCCTTAGCAAAGTTGAACTGCTTATTTTTTTTTCCAAATAGAAGTAATTTAAGCTTTGTTATTAATACTTAAGGTGTCATTTACAGTTAGTATTGTTTCCCTCCATTCTTATGAAGAGCCAAATGTTGTCTTTATTAGGCGCTTAGAAGTACGTCTTAGTTTTTGTAAAGAATTTTAAATATAGAAAGCATTTTGGGGACTTCCCTGGTGGTCCCGTGGCTAAGACTCCGTTCTCCCAATGCGGGAGGCCTGGGTTCGATCCCTGTTCAGGGAACTAGACCCACATGCCTCAACTAAGAGTTCACATGCTACAACCAGATAGCCTATGTGCGGCAACAAAAACCCAATGTAGCCAAATAAATAAATATTTTAAAAAAGAAAGCATTCTGTAGCTGTGAAACATTCCTATGTTTGTAAGGATTTTATTGTTTTAATTAAACTCTGCCCTAATTTCTACTTTAATAGTAATGATAGGTAACATTTGAACACTCTCTGTGTATCATTCACAGTGCTACTGAATACTCTATGTTCTTTGTCATTTAATCCTTAGAATTTTATGAAGAAGGGGCTGTTGTTCTTATTTTACAGAGTGGTGCCCTAAGGGTTGTTGAGATTAAGTGACTTGCCCACATACACACGGCCAACAAGTAGCTAAGCTGGCAGTTGACTCAACTTGACTGATACTCATATCTGGTTAATTAACCATACATACCGCTTCGCTTTCCTTAGTGATGCCAAACTGGGAATCGCTGTTGCAGAAGTTTGAAGTTTTGATTCCTATTTACATTAGTAGATGAGATTTGTAGCACGAGAGATTGATGTTCAGCTTTGCTGGTTAATTTTAGAGGCGCAGATCCTCCATCATGTGACGTCAAGACAGACCTAGACTCCAGGTGGAGGTTGCAGTATGACGTCTATCAGTATTTTCTGCCCGAGAACGACCTCACTGAAGAGGTGTTGCTGAGACATCTGCAGAGGATGGCCGAGGTGCCTCAGGTGCGGGCCAATGCTGTCAAGGTAAGTCTGATACCTGTAACTCCTGTAGCCAGACTGTGACCCCTTTGTAAGAGCTGAGAAGGGGAGAAGCTATCAGGAGCTTATTATTATTACTATTTTTACTGTTTTCTTGGTCTTTCCAGGATTCTCATTTTATCCTCTTTGATTTCATTGTCATCTTGGGAGTCAATGCCAGTGACATCCCAGAGTAACATTGATTTTTTAGAGATGCATGTAAATATTGTTATGTTTTGTTTGTTATGTTTTGTTGCAGCCACATGTTTTGTTGTGTTTCAAGGAAACACAAATTGTGGCTGGTTATCTTGAGCTATGGGTGGAGTGGGTGGTCATTTTCTATGTACTCCCATAACTATTAGATTAAAAAAATTGGGAAATGTAACGTGTATACTGTTTCGAGAAAAAATAATGGGAAACTATTTATTTTTTTTATTTTTTTTGGGGGGGAAACTATTTAAAGATATATGCATTATTTTTACTATTTAAATGCAAGTACAAAATTTGTAACTTGCAGCAAAAATTTTCTCTGAGCTTTTGAACCCCTGAAAACTCTTGCTACTCCTCAAGTGTGGGGGTACAGGCTGGTAGCACTGGCATCACATGGGAATTTGTTAGAGTCACAGACTCTTAGCCTCCACCCCAGATCTACAGCATCAGCATCTGTATTTTACGATCCCCAGGTGATTCCTCTGTACATTAAAGTTTGAGACTCATGCTCTCGATCATTTTTGTAGAGGGCAGGATTTTGTCTTTGTCTTAAAAGGTACCTGATATCAGTCTGATAAACAAGGACATCTGTCAGTCTGGTGGTTGGTGAGGAGCATTTTTCCAGACTGTTACGATCTTCCCAGAAAGTTGCAGACTACCAGATTATATAGAAAGAAACTATTGAAATAGGGCAGCTGTGGGCCTTCCCTGGTGATCCAGTGGCTAAGACTCTGCTTCTGATGCAGGGGGTCAGGGTTTGATCCCTGGTCAGGGAACTAGATCCCATGTGCTGCAACTAAAGATTCTGCGTGCTGCAACAAAGAATGAAGATCCTGGATGTCGCAACTAACACTAGCACAGCCAATGTAATTAATTAATTTAATTTAAAAAATTATGATTATTCACGAATTAGGAGCTCAATTTGAAAAGTTTGCCTTTGTACATAGGAAATTTCAAAGACCACTTTTATTCTCATGAAGAATATAAAAATTCATATAAAAGTCTTTTTAGGTTACTTTTTAAAATTTTAGGCTGTATTGCACGGCTTAGCACGGTACTAAGTTCTTAGTTCCCCAACCAGATCAAATCCAGACTCTTGGCAGTGAGAACCCAGAGTCCTAACCACTGGATTGCCAGGGAATTCCCTAGGTTACTTTTTAACTTTGGTTAAGAGTTAGAACCTTGTGTGCCCGAATTCAAGGAAACACAAATTGAGGACATGACAAAAAGAATGTGGAGCCTATTTGAAGCGTCTCACCCTGACCAACTCTGGGCAATTTGGTCATCAAAAAGAACATGATCAATTAAGGCTTGAATAAAGAAGAACATCTTTAGTCCATCCTGATACTGAAAAAAAGAAAAAGGAAAATTCCTCAGTTGCTACTTACCACTGGAGCAACTTACATAAAATTACTCTGAAAATTGATAAAAGGGAAGGAATTTACCTTTAACAAAAGAAGGATGTGAATTCACCCCCCATTAATAAGAGAAAGCTCGCCTTCATTTTTTTAGTATTTACTTATTTATTTTGGTTGTGCGGGGTCTCTGTGGCTGCACGCAGACAGACTTTCTCTAGTTGTGGTGAGTGGAGGCTTCTCTGTAGTTGCAGTGTGTGGGCTTCTCATTGAGCTGGTTTCTCTTGTTGTGGAGCACAGGCTCGAGGATGCATGGACTCAGTAGTTGCAATTCACAGGCTCAGTTGCCCCGTGACATGTGGGATCTTCATGGACCAGGTATCAAATCACTGTCCTTTGCATTGCAAGGTGAATTCTTAACCACCTGGGAAGCCTCAGAAAGCTCTTCTTTAAGAAGAATGCCAGCTAGTGACTGCAGAAGAATAATAGAATTAGAAAATCACCATTTTATGACCCTCAATGAAATAATTCAGGCAAGGATCTTCAGGTAAAAGAGTGTTAGGGGGCAGGATAATCCCAAGATGCCTAAATAGCACCCTGAGGTTAATTCTAATTAAAGAGGGAAAACTACTTTCAGAATGGAGTGATTCGATGGTCTCTACCTTATCTGTGTGGTCAAAGTTAATTTTGCTGATGAACCTGCATTATGTGCTTAACTGTGAACCTGCATTCTCTGCTTAAAAGCAATGTAGGCTGACTTTACCACCATCACTTATGGAATATTCTGGCGAAACAGGTTCAACTTGATTTCCTGTTTATAGGAGTTTCTGTTTATAAGAAATCCATGGGATGAAAGTACAAGTTAGACACCCTGAGTACAATCTGATAAATTCAATTGAAGAATAAGCTGTAAAATAACTTCCTTCATCTTTCAAAGGTGGGAGAAAGATGGTTCCAGATTACAGAGATTGGAGATAAACATATGGAACTTGGTTGGATCTTGGTTAACGGGGAGAAAACTATAAAAGACATTTGGGGAAATTCGAATATGGACTGTGTATTAGATAATAAGAAATTATTCATTTTCTTAGGTGAGCTAAGGTATTGTAGGCACGTTGGAGAATATCCTTATACTTGTACTTGCTGTTCATAGTGTGGTGGGTGAATGCATAGCATTGCAACACCTGAGAGTTTCTTAGAAAAGCAGAACCTCAGGCACTTCCTCTGACCAGCAGAATCAGAAGCTGCCGTGATTCATAGGCCATTAAGTTCGAGAAGCACTGTGTTAGGACATGCACACTGAAGTATTTAGGAGTGAAATGTCACGGTACCTGTCACTTATTTAAAAAAAAAAAAAATATATATATATATATATATATATGGGAAAGGAGGGAGAAAGAGGGAAGGACAGAAAAGCAAGTGTGCTAAAATAATAACAACTGTTGAATCTAAGTGGTTGTATATAACTTACTCATTGTGTTATTCTTTCAACAGTTCTCTCAGGTTGAATGTCTCATAATACCAACTTGGGAGAGTAGAAGCTAATGTTAACAGCATTCTGTTGGGCTTGACTAGTCCTTTCCCCAGAAAACATATTTTTGAAGGCTAAGCACTATATTTAAACAGTAGAAGTTTTCTAAGAAACGTCTAATTATTCACTCCTGAAACTCTTAATATTTAGTTTTCTCTCTTCTGTTAGTAGGAACCTATCTGTCTGTGAGGGCTAAGTGGAGCTTTTGTCTTTATTACATGTATCCCCTATCTAAATGAAACTAGAACACCTCCTAACACCATACACGAAAATAAACTCAAAATGGATTAAAGACTTAAATGTAAGGCCAGAAACTCTAAAGCTCTTAGAGGAAAACATAGGCAGTACACCCCTTGACATAAATCAAAGCAAGATCCTCTATGACCCACCTCCTAAAGTAATGGAAATAAAAAAAAAATAAACAAATGGGACCTCATTAAACCTAAAAGCTTTTGCAGAGCAAAGAAGACTATAAACAAGGTGAAAAGACAACCCTCAGAATGGAAGAAAATAATAGCAAATGAAATAACTGACAATTAATCTCCAAAATATATAAGCAGCTCATGCAGCTCAATACCAGAAAAACAGACAACCCAATCAAAAAGAGAGCAGAAGAGCTAAACAGATATTTCTCCAAAGAGGACTTGCAGATGGCTAATAAACACAGGAAAACATGCTCAACATCTCTCATTATTAGAGAAATACAGATCAAAACTACAATGAGATCTCATGAGATATCACCTTACACTGGCCTGGATGGCAATCATCAAAAAATTTACAAACAATAGATGCTGGAGAGCCTGTGGAGAAAAGGGAACCCTTTTGCATTGTTGGTGGGAATATAAATTGATATAGCTCACCATATAACCCAACAATCCCACTACTGAGCATGTTCTCTGAGAAAACCAGAATTAAAAAAAGACACATGTACCCCAGTGTTCATTGCAGCCCTATTTACGATAGCTAGGACGTGAGTCAGTGCTAATGAGGTGGATGAACACCTATTACACAGAGTGTAAGTCAGTCAGAAAAAGAAAAACAAATATTGTGTGTTAATGCATAGATACGGAATCTAGAGAGATGGTACTGAATGGACCTATCTTCAGGGCAGCAGTGGAGATGCAGATATAGAAAATAGACATGTGGACACAGTGGAGAAAGGAGAAGGTGGGACAACGGAGTGGGAGAGTGGCATTAAAACATATACATTACCATATGTAAAATAGATAGCTAGGGAGACTTGGTGTGTGATGCAGGGAGCTCAACCTTGTTCTCTGTGGCAACCTAAAGGGATGGGAGGTGGGAAGGAGTTTCAGAAACAGGGGACATGTGTACAACTATGGCTGATTCATGTTAATGTATGGCAGAAACCATCACAGTATTATGAAACAATTATCCTCCAATTAAAAATAAATAAACATTTTTAAAAAACAGCCTTTAAAAGGGAACTTTTGAAGTGAAGGACTACAGGATAACACGGCTATATGTAATTTTTTCTTATTTCAGAGCCTGTTAGACAAAAGTAAGCGGGCGCCGTCTGTGAGATATTAACCCCCACGACCTATGTTGGCTCTGGCTCACAGCGATCATTAGTTGGACCCTCCCTCTGTGCGGAGTATTGACAGGAGACTAGTGAGCAGGATGTATAAGGTTCCTGCCCTTACATCTTTTACAGTCTAGCAGATGGGAAAAATTCTTTTACTTTGTCCTAACTAGCACATTTTACTTAATCCTTATATCACATTTTACTTAAATCATTAACATATGCAATCTTTAGATGTTTTTGTGTAAGAGCTTGATCATGTCAGCACGAACAGATTGTGTAGAGTAATCTTTTGACAAACCCAAATGAGTTGGCAAACTATTACATATAGGATGGATAGATAACAAATTGCTATGTATAGCAAGTGCATGCCTGCTAAGTCACTTCAGTCTTGTCCAGCTCTGCGACCCTATGGACTGTAGCTCGCCAGGCTTCTCTGTCTATGGGGATTCTCCAGGCAAGAATACTGGAGAGGGTTGCCATGCCCTCCTCCAGGGGATCTTCCCAACCCAGGGATCGAACCAGTATCTCTTAAGTCTCCTGCATTGGCAGGTGAGTTCTTTACCACTAGCACCACCTGGGAAGCCCAAGGTATAGCACAGGGAACTATATTCAGTATCCTGTGATAAACCAGAATAGAAAAGAATATGAAAAAAATAAGTGTGTGTATAACTGAGTCACTTTGCTATATAGCAGAAATTAACACAACATTGTAAATCATCTATAGTTCAATACATTAAAAAAAGTCAAATGGGCTGATACAAGAATGACGCTTTTGTATTAGAATTTAATAGCACATGTAGGTGGGGTTATAATAGAAAAGCTTGTGGGGTGTGATTTTTTTAACTCAAACACTAATCATGCATTACTTTTGATTTCAGGTGGTCACCCTAACCGCTGACGATAAGACAAGTGTTTCCTTCTCCTCCCTCCGGGGACAGGGTGTCATTTACAATGTCATCGTTCGGGACCCACTTCTAAACACGTCCACGGCTTACGTGCCCACTCACACGTATGCTTGCAGCTTTGAAGCTGAGGAGGGTAGCTGTTCTTCCCTTGGTGAGTATGTGGATTTCAACTGTGAACTTTCTTCTTTGGCCTTGAAGAGCTTTATCAACTAGAAAAGAACTTCAGGATATTTACAAGTGCTTTTGTCTTGTTTATTCATTCACGCAGTAAGCACCCGCCTCCCGAGCGCCTGGGTTACTCTGCTCTCTGTTCTAGGCACTGGGATATAGCAGTGAACAAAATGGACAAAATACCTGCCCTCCTGGAGCCTGCATTTTAGTGGGGGGGTGGGGAACGAGGCAGACAAAAGACATTTGTAAAATACACAGTACCTAAGATAAGTGATGAGAGCTGAGGAGCAAGAATTAAGTAGGTAGGGGAGATAACCATGGGGGGTGAGAGAATTTGAGAAACTAGGGAAGCCCTTGCTGAGCTGGTAGCATTAGAGGAGACCCGTGGCAAGGCAAGGAGCCATGCCCGTGTCTGGGGTGGGGAGTGGGTTGCCAGGCCGAGGAGACAGCCAGCACAGAGCCCTCAACTGGGGCCTGCCTGGTGTGGCTGCAAGAGCAGGCAGCGTCTCAGGTCCTCCTTTGAGCTATAGCGTTTATTCTGAGTGCAGTGAAAAGGCATTGGAGGGCTTGAGCAAATAATACTATGATCTGTCTTGTATTTTAATGGGATCACTCTGGTGCTTTTCTGGAGAAAAATCAGGGGCAAGAGCACAAATCGGGAGATTGATGAGGAGGCCGTCATAGTGTCCAGGAGAGAGAGGACAGCGGCACTCGGGGTGTTGTAACATCATCCTGTGTGTGTATATTTAGCATTTTATTCTAAAACAGTTTCACAGAAAAGATGTGAAAATAATTCAAAGAATTCTGTATAATCTTCACCAACATTCCTCAAATGTTAGTTAACATGTTGTGCTGTTTGCTTTTCACTCTTTATCTAGACATACACGTATATCTAGATTTTTTCCCCCTGAAGCATTTGAGAGTAAGTTACAGACATAAAGACCCTTTTGCCCTAAAATATTTCTGTTTGCTTCCTTATATAGCCATAGTGACATTATCAAATCACAAAATGAACACTGATATACTACTGTTACTTAATCTATAGATGTTATCAAATTTCATTGTTTGTTCCACTAATGTCCTGTATAACCAAAGGAAAAAATTTTTTTCTGGTCTGGGGTCCACTTCAGTATCACATGATGCTTTATCTTCTTTAATCTGGAATGATTTCTTAGTCTGTTTTTGTCTTTCAAAAAACTTTACCTTTTTGAAGAGTACAGGTTAGTATTTATTTTGGTAGAAAGTCCTCAATTTGGGTTTATCTGGTTTCCTCCTAACTAAGTTCAGATGATGCATTTTTGGCAGGAATACAAAAGGTGATGGAGTGTCATTCTCTGCAGACACCTGATGTCTGTCTGTTCCATTCCTGGTGGTCATAATCCTGAGTACTTGGTTAGGGGTGTCTGCCAGGTTTATCCACTGAGAAATAACTATTTTTCCCTTTAAATATCTTTTGGGGAGATACTTTGAATGCAGGCAAATATCTGCTTCTCAAATGCTTCACTTGCTGGCTGGAGGATCCAGTGAACTTTGCCTGAAATGTTGCCAGCGGGTTTGCCAGATGGCATTTTGCTCTATTTATCATTCCTTTCATGTTTATAGCCGTAGGAAAGAGTAGGGGGTCTCAGGACTGAGCTGATGGGCCAGCTAAGAAAGACACTGGAAAAGGACCTTTGGATTTAGCAACAACTGGAGGCTACTGGTGCCCTTGGGAGCATTTCAGAGGAGCTTAATTGGAGTCTGTTCAAGAACAAATAGGAGGAAAGAAATTGGAGAAAGAGTTCAAAGAGCTCTTTCAAGGAGTTTTCTATAAAGAAAAAGTCTGTGGGTTGTGGGAATTCCCTGGGGGCCCAGTGGCTAGGATTCGGCACTTTCACTGCCATGGCCTGTGTTCAGTCCCTGGTTGGGGGACTAAGATCCCATAAGCTGCACAGTGTGGCCCAAAAGTAAAATAAGTAAATAAATAAAGTCTGTCGGTTGTGTTCAAGCAGGGATTAATTTTTGCTCTTCTCTGCTAGAGCTGTATCCCACCAGTCTTCCAGTGCCACGTGCAAGAGCCTTGAGAGATACAGTGCAAGAAACCAGGCAGATATAAGTTCTCTGGTTTAACAGCTAGGCTAGATCTTGTCTGGGTTTTCCTGTTCCCTTTGCCTTGAACTCTTTGCACCAGGGCTCCTCCTGATCAGAGCACTCTGGGCCCCGTCTTTCCACTTTAGGTGGAGGAGAGGGAAAGGTCCCGTCTGATTGTTCCTTCAACTCAGGGTGGAACCCTCCCGGTCATGTGGGTTCTATCACTTTCCTTTTCAAGCTCGATGCACACTAGGATGACTTTCCTGAGCTTGGAGTAGGGAGGATGTATCCACGTTACCTCATTTAAAAAAAAAAATTTTTTTATTGGAGTATAGTTTCTTTACAATGTTGTGTTACTTTCTGCTGTAGAGCAAAGTGAATCAACTGTACATATATCCATGGACCCCCTCTTTTTTGCCATTTAATTAAAACCTTTGCCTATGTCATTACCTATAGCGATGCTGTGATGACTAAAAATACTGTAAACGTTGGCTCTCCTCCATCCTCCCATCCCACTCGCTATCTTACCTCTCAGTTTTACTTATGAAACCTTGTCTCCTCTCTGGTTTGCTTATATATTTGACTTTCTCTCTCTTTCCTTCCTGGTATTGTGACCGGAGATTTTTAGTTCCCCTCTGCTGTCTAATGTCCTGGAGGAACATATCTAAACTGGGTCAGTTTGTATTGGGCCGCTTGTTGTCTCTGGTGATTGTACTTGTTGGAAACTTCCACTAGATTTTCACTTGAAAAAAATTATCCCACTAAACTGCATGTTTTTGTTATAATGATTGAATTGTAGAGGAGCAGTCAATCATAGGGCAGGAGGAGAAGGGGGCGACAGAGGATTAGATGGTTGCATGGCATCACAAAATCAATGGACATAAGTTTGAGCAAGCTTTGGGAGATGGTGAAGGACAGGGAAGCTTGGTGTGCCGTAATCCATGGGGTTGCAAGGAGTCGGACATGACTTAGCAACTGAACAACAACAAATAGGTCTGAAATAAGCAGAATAGGGTAGTAACTCTCATTTCATCTTTCCTTTCAGCTCTTCATTCACAAAGAAACTGATATGTAGGTATATGTTGTGCCCTGCAAGTTCTGGCCTTCTATCTTGTGTTCTTTATCTAAATGTAGGTCTTCATGGTATCCACTGGAATGCTTGAGTATTTTATGTGTTTTGACTTGTAGCTGGTTTGTAATACCTCTCATAAGTTTGTGTAGGTGCTGTGTTTTTATTTTTAGTTCAGGAATTATTTTCTTGTGTTTATCTCAGAGGAGTCATGATGGTGGTGAATTTAGTGGGCCTATTTTTCCCTTCAGTAGGGTTTATCTTTTGAATCCTAGTTTTTGTATTTAAGTTTGCGCTGCTTGAGGATCACAGGATTAGATTCTTCTGCTTCAGAGAGCACATTAATATAGTTATTAAGCTATATTTTTTTCCCAGAGCAACATGCATAATTGATAAGATTGGTAGTGACTTGTTCACGCGTGGCTTGTAGAATAATACATGTTCTTTTATTTTAATGTGAGTTTCAGTTAACTTTGTTAGGGAAAACTTAAGTGAACTTCCATATACCATTATCCAGCCTTAACAATTTTGATTCATGCCTGTTATCTTGTATCAGTTATACACCCACCCGTGTCTGCCCCTCCACTCTCCTTTATCACTGGATTTTTTTAGAGCACGTACCTAATGGTCATTTTGCTTACAGAATTTTGATATGTATATCTTAAAGAAAAGGGCTATTTAAAAAAAGAAATTGCCACAGTAGCATTAATACAAGTTTCAATGAAAAGTATTGAAGATAATTCCTTAATGGCATCAAATTAACAGCCAGTGTTTGCGTTTTCCCAGTCTGGTTTTTCACAGTTCATTTGTTTGAGTCAGGTTTCACATGAGGTCTGTACATTGCATGCAATTGGTGTGTCTTAAATTCCCTCGACGCCATAGTTCTCCCTCCCCACTCTCTCCTTTTTTTCCTTCTAGTTTCTTTGTGAGGAAACAGAATTATTTGTTTTAGGCACACGCTCTTTCCTTCTCTTTTCTACCATTCCCTCCCCCAAACATGTCGCAGGTAGAATTGCAGACCCTGCTTATTTAACTTCTGTGCAGAGTACATCATGAGAAACGCTGGGCTGGAAGAAGCACAAGCTAGAATCAAGATTGCCGGGAGAAATATCAATAACCTCAGATATGCAGATAACACCACCCTTATGGCAGAAAGTGAAGAAGAACTAAAAAGCCTCTTGATGAAAGTGAAAGATGAGAGTGAAAAAGTTGGCTTAAAGCTCAACATTCAGAAAACTAAGATCATGGCATCTGGTCCCATGACTTCATAGCAAATAGATGGGGAAACAGTGGAAGCAGTGTTAGACTTTATTTTTTTGGGCTCCAAAATCACTGCAGATGGTGATTGCAGTAATGAAATTAAAAGATGCTTACTCCTTGGAAGGAAAATTATGACCAACCTTGATAGCATATGAAAAAGCAGAGACATTACTTTGCCAACAAAGGTCCGTCTAGTCAAGGCTATGGTTTTTCCAGTAGTCATGTATGGATGTGAGAGTTGGACTGTGAAGAAAGCTGAGGGCCGAAAAATTACTGCTTTTGAACTGTGGTGTTGGAGAAGACTCTTGAGAGTCCCTTGAACTGCAAGGAGATCCAACCAGTCCATCCTCAAGGAGATCAGTCCTGGATGTTCATTGGAAGGACTGATGCTGAAGCTGAAACTCCAGTACTTTGGCCACCTGATGCGAAGAGTTGACTCACTGGAAAAGACCCTGATGCTGGGGTGGATTGGGGGCAGGAGAAGGGGACGACAGAGGATGAGATGGCTGGATGGCATCACCGACTCCATGGACATGAGTTTGAGTAAACTCTGGGAGTTGGTGGTGGACAGGGAGACCTGGCATGCTGCAATTCATGGGGTCTCAAAGAGTCAGACACAACTGAGGGACTGAACTGAACTGATGGGCTCCAAAATCACTGCAGATGGTGACTGCAGCCATGAAATTAAAAGACGCTTACTCCTTGGAAGTAAAGTTATGACCAACCTAGACAGCATATTAAAAAGCAGAGACATGGTACCTCATTGTGGTTTTGATTTGCATTTCTCTGATAATGAGTGATGTTGAGCATCTTTTCATGTGTTTGTTAGCCATCTGTATGTCTTCCTTGGAGAAATGTCTGTTCAGTTCTTTGGCCCATTTTTGATTGGGTCATTTATTTTTCTGGAGTTGAGCTGGAGGAGTTGCTTGTATATTTTTGAGATTAATCCTTTGTCTGTTGCTTCGTTTGCTATTGCACACCAGTCAGGATGGCTGCTATCCAAAAGTCTACAAGCAATAAATGCTGGAGAGGGTGTGGAGAAAAGGGAAGCCTCTTACACTGTTGGTGGGAATGCAAATTAGTACAGCCACTATGGAAAACAGTGTGGAGATTTCTTAAAAAGCTGGAAATAGAACTGCCATATGACCCAGCAATCCCACTTCTGGGCATACACACCAAGGAAACCAGATCTGAAAGAGACACGTGTACCCCAATGTTCATCGCAGCACTGTTTATAATAGCCAGGACATGGAAGCAACCTAGATGCCCATCAGCAGATGAATGGATGAGGAAGCTGTGGTACATATACACCATGGAATATTACTCAGCCATTAAAAAGAACTCATTTGAATCAGTTCTAATGAGATGGATGAAACTGGAGCCCATTATACAGAGCGAAGTAAGCCAGAAAGATAAAGACCATTACAGTATACTAACACATATATATGGAATTTAGAAAGATGGTAACGATAACCCTATGTGCAAAACAGAAAAAGAGACTCCTATGTATAGAACAGACTTGTGGACTCTGGGAGAAGGCGAGGGTGGGATGTTTCAAGAGAACAGCATTGAAACACGTATATTATCTAAGGTGAAACAGTTCACCAGCCCAGGTTGGGTGCATGAGACAAGTGCTCGGGCCTGGTGCACTGGGAAGACCCAGAGGGATTGGGTGGAGAGGGAGGTGGGAGGGGGGACCGGGATGGGGAATACATGTAAAAAAAAAAAAAAAGATACACTATGGTTGTGATAAAAAAAATAAATAAATAAATTTAAAAAAAAAAAAAAAGAAATTCTCTGCTCTCAGACTGTAAAGATATTATATACATTATTCCATAATATCTATAGTTTTCGCTTTTAATATTTAAAAATTCTACAACTAGTAACTTATTTCTGGATATGATTTAGGTTAAAAAGCAAACATTCAATTTCCTTGTAGACAAGCAATTTTTCTAGACCCATTGATTGAATAATTATTACTCAGCTTACTGACCTCAAATTTCTGTTCAGTATTATTTGGGTGGGACTATTTTAGGGCTCTTTGCTCTTTTTCATTATTCTGCTTACCTAGTCCAATTCACATGCCACATTGTCTTATTAGAACTTCAATAAAAATGTTGGACAAATAAAAAAAATAAAAAATAAAAAGCAGAGACATTTCTTTGTCAACAAAGGTCCATCTAGTCAAGGCTATGGTTTTTCCAGTAGTCATGTATGGATGTGAGAGTTGGACTATAAAGAAAGCTGAGTGCCGAAGAATTGGTGCTTTTGAACTGTGGTGTTGGAGAAGACTCTTGAGAGTCCCTTGGACTGCAAGGAGATCCATCCAACCAGTCCATCCTCAAGGAAATCAGTCCTGGGTGTTTGTTGGAAGGACTGATGTTGAAGCTGAAACTCCAGTATTTTGGCCACCTGATGTGAAGAGCTGACTCATTTGAAAAGACCCTGATGTTGGGAAAGATTGAAAGCAGGAGGAGAAGGGGACAACAGAAGATGAGATGATTAGATGGCATCACTGACTCAATGGACATGAGTTTGCGTAAACTCGGGGAGTTGGTGATGGACAGGATACCTGGCGTGCTGCGGTTCACGGGGTCACAAAGAGTCGGACACGACTGAGCGACTGAACTGAACTGAATCAGGAAGCAGCATTGTCTGAATTCTCTTTCTGTGGAACCTGCAGCCATTGGTATTCATCACCCACATAAAGTCACTAGAGGTGGCAAGAATGTTTCTAAAATAACTTATATACTTATGGAATAAATTGTCACTTCATTCTACTTTTTTTTCATGAAGCTTTTGTTCTGTATTAAATAGATAATAAGTATCAAATTGGATGTATTATCCACTTAATTTTTACTCTTTTTAGGAAGAGTCTCTACCAAAGTCTTCTTCACTCTTTTTGCCCTGCTTGGCCTCTTCATCTGTTTCTTTGGGCACAGATTCTGGAAAACAGGTATTTTGTCTAATATAGTTGCTACTTACGTGCTTTGTAGTTTTTTGTTTTTTTCCTGAAATACTTCTGGGGAGTTTATGACCTGTAAGGAGAGTAATCAACTGGTTATCTCCACTATTTTCATTGATTTGTAGCTGAGGTCTTTATTAGTAAACATTTTACTGAATTACAATGCATTTTAATTTTTTCTCTTTTCTCCACTAGGGAGTGCAAACTCTTCTTATTAAGCAGGGTATAAAGTTTGATTTGTGCATCCACCTTTATCAATTGCTAGAATGACTAGTTGACCAACGATTACTAATTAGAAATCAGAATGTCTGTATACAAAATATATGTGGATTTTGGTGATGGTGATGGACATGGTTTTGCACAAATCAGGCTGCAGTGCACAGTGAGGTTGAAATGTCTGCAGAACCCTGGGAGGTTCAAACAGCAAGTGGGAACTCCACAATCTGTTCAGTGAAACCCAGTGAAGCAAGGAGAATATGAAATGTGCTTGTTAAATTGACTTGAATTCTTTGGATTACCTTTTATATAACTAACATTTGCATGAGTGCTTAGTCACTCAGTCAGACATGACTGTAGCCCGTCAGGCTTCTCTGTCCATGGGATTTCCAAGTAAGAACACTGGAGTGCGTTGCCATTTCCTCCTCCGGGGGTCTTAACTCTCTTGTGTTTCCTGCATTGCAGATGGATTCTTTACCCATTGAGCCTAATGTTTGTAGTTACTAAAAAAAAAAAAAAAAGAATCCTTCATGTAATTCATTAACAGGGGCTATACTGGTATAACAAGGGGAGAGTGAATGTAATCCTGATCTTAGAAAACTGTTTGAACTGATAAATTGTTTGAAACAGCAACTCCCTTTCCCTCCATTGCTACCTTTTTTGTCTTGATTGAGAAGAGAATATTGTGAAGAATATTTAATTGCTCAAAATATAGAATGATTCTGTAGTACAGAATATAATTGTTAAGCTGTATGTAGAGTTTTAAAAGATACTACTAGGTTTTTATGGTTAAAGACAATAGTCGATGTTCATATTAAACGAGAGGATGAATTAAAAGAAGACATAAAAGTTACACTTTGCTTTGGAATATATTTTTTTAACCTTTCAAATTCTATTTTTGCTCATGTAATGAAGGACTCCCAGGTGGTGCTTCCACCTGCCAATGCAGAAGTCACAAGAGATGTGGGTTCGATGCCTGGGTTGGGAATATCCCCTGTAGTAGGAAATGGCACCCCACTCCAGTATTCTTGACTGGAAAATTTCATGGGCAGAGGAGTCTGGCAGTCTTCAGTCCATGGAGCCACAAAGAGCAGGGCATGGTTGAGTGACTGAGCACAATGAACTGAAATCTAGTGTGTAATTTCAGATCAGACACAATAACAAAAGTACTATTTTTGTTTTAAATCAGAACTATAAATATATTAAACCAAGCTATGAAATTAACAATTAACTGATCAATCGAAACTAACCTATGTACAAAAAATGTATCCAATAGTTAATACTTTAATTTGTACGCATTTAATAAAAATATTTACTCCCAATGACTTCTGAATTTTCCCTGCCTCTTAGATAATTATTTCTTTTCTTTGAATGCCCTCATGTATACATTCTGGGAACTGAAGAATGGATTTGTAGATTAGACATTTAAATTGCATTTACTAACTGTATTTTTTTTTTTTTTTTTGCTTTCTTGGTGGTCTGCTACTAGAACTATTCTTTATAGGCTTTATCTTCATTGGATTCTTCTTTTATATACTGATTACAAGACTGACACCTATTAAGTATGATGGTAAGTGAACATAAGATAGTTTGATGAAGGTTCAAAAAGCAAGGTGCTGTGTTTGCACCCAGCATCCCTTGTATAGTGTGACCAGTACTGAGTGTGTTACCCTCTCCTGTGTGTAAAGTAACTGGCCACCTATGCTCTACACATCTTTTCTGAACTCCTTCAGACCTTCTGTCCAGGGTTTTTAATCTGCATGGAGAATTCCTTGGTACTCAGGGAAATGAAGGGCCATGTGGATTATAAGCCTGTGTTCCAGCTATGTGGTATATTGACAATATGACATTTACAACAATCAGAGTGTTAGGATTTTCTTTACCTCAAAACAAACCCAGCCCTCCTTCCTTGTCATGTTGAACAGAGTGCTTCTCACCCCTTCTTCCACAGTCCCAGGTGGAGGTTGTCCCAGACCATGCCTGTCACTCATCCTCAGATGAGCTGCCCGGGTTTCCAGTCTCAGACCCTCCCTAGAGAGGGCCTTCCCGTGCTGGTTTCATGGCACTGCTGATGCCTCCTTGGTGCCCGACCCAGAGAAAGGCTAGTCTAGTCTGGCGTTGGTAACGTTAGCGTGTCTGAGCATGCATCTGAGAAGCTCTGATTTAACTGTCCATCCACTCCCCTCGTGCAGTCCGCCTGATTGTGACGGCCGTCACCGGAAGCATCGGTGGAATTTTCTTGGTAGCTGCTTGGTGGCGATTTGGAGTCCTCACGCTCTGCATGCTGTGTGTCGGACTGGTGCTGGGCTTCCTCGTCGCATCAGTGGCTTTCTTCACTCCCCTGGGTAGGAGATGTGTAACTCATGTTATGTGCGTGCAGTTCATTGTCAGAGACTTTATTTCACCTCTCCAGTACACGCGCCCCCCCCCACCCCTTGTTAGGAATTTGGGGCCTCTCCTGAGAGTTCTGGAAACTTGCACTGATAATGTGCCACTTTAGGGAAAGCCAGTACCAGTAAGAATCCCCCTTTCCTCAAAGGCGCCCTATGTAGATGAATTCTAGAACATCTTCAGAGGTTGCCTTGGACCTACGTGTCATGATAAGGGGTCTGTGTGTATTTCTGTTGGTTAAAATTAGTGGAGGTAAAGGGAATTCTTTATATACAACAGAACAGTGGTTTTCATTTTTTTAAAACCCTGCAAGTTTTTCTTCAAGTGAGTCTTAAGCAGAAGCCTGGTCCGACCCACAGGTAAATTGGGCACTACCCTGATGGCAGCTGAGCCAGGGAGCCTGATGTTCTGTTGCCAGTCTTCCCTTGGACCCCTAACCCCTGCTCCCACCCTTTGCAAGCCCTGAGTGTTCCTGAGATACCTCCTTGTAGTTATCCTAGCGCAGTAGCACAAGGGATGGTTTGGGGGATTCTAAATTATTCAGTTTCTATCCATTAAAAAAATCTGCTTAATGTGTAGGTTAACTCCCTTTCTTAGGGGAGGAAAGATTTTCCTTTTAGCCTTCTAGGTTCTTTGGCTGCTCTAATAATTCAATTGACATCGGACAGATTAATAGGAGAAAAACAAATTTAATTCTGTACCACTGGAGTCCGATAAAAACAGAAGACTCAAAGGCAGTCAGGCAGTTGAGGCTTTTCTGCCATCCTGAGCTAAGAATTCAGATGGATTCTGAGGCTTCAGAGAGGAGGGGGGCAGTTCACAGGAACATAAGACGGGCAGGTGGTAATCAGATGTCTGCCATTGCAGATATAAAGCTGTCTCTGGTAATTGCTTTCATTCTGGGCCAGGCCTGTGATCTAAATTCTTTTAGGCAGTAAAGGGAGAGAAAAGTTTCCCCCAAATCTGCTGGGTCTTGATTGCCTTCAGCTCAAAATAACCTACATGCCAAAGGGGCCCATTTTGGGGTGCCCGTTCTGCTCCCCTTCACTTTATAGTTGTATGATAATTTACATTTCTTCAATGGTAAAAAATCCTCCTGCTAGTGCAGGAGAGACAAGAGATGTGGATTCAATGCCTGGGTCAGGAAGATCCCCTGGAGAAGGAAATGGCAACCCACTCCAATATTCCTGCCTGGAGAATCCCATGGACAGAGGAGCCTGGCGGGCTACAGTCAATGGGGTCACAAAAGTCAGGCACAACTGAGGACACTCAACACTATACATAAAATAGATGAACAACAAGGACTTCCTGTATAGCACAGGGAACTGTATTCAGTATTTTGTATTAACCTATAATGGAAGATCCTTCAAAAAAGAAGTATGTGTGTGTGTGTGAGTGGGTGGGTGGGTGTATAGCTGAATCAGTTTAACATGACATTATTAATTAATTATATTTCAAGAAAAAATAAAATTTTTAAAAAGGGTATCTATGGTCAGAAGTACTCTACTAGGCTATGTTCTTCTTCTCATAATGTTTAGTTCTTATATTAAAAATTTTTTAAACCAGAAAGAATTGGTGACCTGTGTGTTTACTGACAATTCCAAGGCCCTTTGCTCTGATTTTAGCAAACCTATAGCCAAGTTCATTCCAGGCCCCCTTACAGGTAGCTCTTTATCTACCTGCAAAGTGGCATTGTTTAGATTTGGCTAAATCACAGACTCTCAGGGATGTTTATTGAAAATGCAGATTCAGAACTCTACTCTAGAAGTGCTAAACCAAATACTATTTAATGAGCTTCCTTTTTGTTAATGTTTAGAAGATGGAGGGATGGTGGGTTGGAATCTTTTGTAGTTAATGTGTTGAACTGTCTTATTTTTAGTAGTTAATATATGAACTATCTCATCACTCAAGGACATTTAGGGTAAGTGTGACCTTAATTAGAGTGGGTGCAAACTTATATTTCTAAGCACTAAAATTTGGAAAAGATTTGGTTGACTTCTAGACTTAATGAAATTACTGTTTTCACTTTATTATGTGTCCTCTGAATGGGTCAGTCTTCTCATGCCTGGCATCATAACTACTATTGTTAATCTCTTGTATTCCTTTTTTTAAAGTCACATGTGCATGTTGTGAAGGATAGCATAGGTGAACTGGAGATATGATCCATCCATTCACCCCACTGAAGCATGTTGCAGTTTGCTTTCTGAGAACATGGGGTCTCCAGGTCAGAGCCCCTCACTATGGACTTCCAGCTCTTTCAGGATACGTGGGTCTCAAGATACAGGGACATCTCCAGTTGGACTGAGGGATGGTGCCAGTGTCAGTATTAAATAATTGTCAGATTTACATTTTTGTTATTGAAACATAATTTATAATAGGAGTTCTAATATATCCGTCCTGGGTCACCCCAAGATGCACTACACTTTAGAGAAGGGTTTAGTATGATGGATTAGCTCACATCTTAGCTAAATGATTAGCTCACATCTTTCCTGATGCCTGAGAAAAAGTCACATCTTCCAGTGTACAGTGGATAAACAGGAAATGCATTGATGGTCAAAATCTGCTAAACAGAGTTTGCTCCTTATATGGGACTTCATATATCATATGATGACTCTGAATGCCACTTATATTTTTTACTTCACAGTATAAAATCAGGGAATTATAGAAATTTATAGCTAGAAGGGATGATTTGAAGCTTGGAGATAAAGTGGTTCAACCTTTTCATTTTAAGGATCAGGAAACAGGCCCAGCATCACATCTGGTGAATGATAGAGCTTGGACTAGTCCAGCCTCTTCTAAGTTATCCTATAATAAATGCAGAGCATTACCTGCTTGATTTTTCCTCCTACCCCTTTACCTTCTTAGGACACATCCTTCAAAGAAGATTGTATTGATAGTTAAGTGAAAAGAAATCAGTTCATTTCATAGTGCCTGTTTGTTACATTAAACTTTCAGGATATGTCTATGTTCACATGTTGAGAAAATGAAATTTCACTTGGTGAACCTGTTGTTTACTCTTGATTTCTTTCTGCTTTTCCAGGAAACCTAAAGATTTTCCGTGTCGACGCAGTATTCTGGGTGACCTTCTCTTGTATAGCCATTTTCATTCCGGTGGTTTTCATGGGCTGCTTAAGAATAGTAAGTGTTTCATCAGGTCAGGATATTCACCCTATTTTCCTGGGCCTGCCTTTGTTCACTTATTGCATCATTTTGCATTTCTGTTCACTAGAGAGAGCTGTCTCTCTGTATCAGATGATTCATTTTGAATAGCCTTGTTACTGTGAAAGCAAGAGAAGTTCTTGTTACAATGATCACATTATTTTTTCCAATAAGTGGTGCAGGTCATCACACTTCTAACAGCAGGAGCAGAGAAGGTAGGGTTTACGGTGATGCAGCCATTTGATGGATTGTTCATTTCTGCTGTCTCTCCAGGAGATTCTTCATCTACTTAGAATTTATTATTGAAGTTATTTCAGAGGGAAGACCTTTTCTATGATGAGGGAAACTGTTTTATGAACCACAGGTGTTGAAAGTTGTTTTCAGTTTTTTTTTTTCATAATTTTATTTATTTATTTTCCAGCCAAAATAAATTTAAGAAAGCACTGGGTCTTCATTGCTGCAAGTGGGCTTTCTCTAGTTGCAGTGAGCAGCGACTTCTTGTTGCAGCGTGCAGGCTTCTGACTGTACTGGCTACTCTTGTTGCTGAGCACAGGCTCTCAGACACTTGGGCTTCAGTAGTTGCGACATGTGGGCGCAGTAGTTGAGGTTCCCGGACTCCAGAGCACAGGCGCCATAGTTATGGTGCATGGGCTTGGTTGCTCCAAGGTATATGGGATCGTCTCGAATCTGGGATTAAACCTGTGTCTCCTGCATTGGCAGGTGGATTCTTTACCACTGAGCCACCAAGGAAACCCGCAGTTTATCTTTTCAGGTAACCTTTATTCAGTTCTAAGATCTGGCCCCTTTTCATACGCTGCAAAGGAGCAGGAGTGATTCCCTGCTCCTCAGGGTTGAGGCCAGTGATGAAAGCTATAAAAACTACTATCGTTCTACCAGAGGTGATGCCTGAACACTTTTGCTTTTCCACAGCTGAACATACTGAGTTGTGGATTCATTGGCTCCTATTTGGTGGTCTTGGCCGTGAACAGTTACCTGTATACAAGCCTTTCTTACATCACTTTGAACATACTCAGGAGAGCACTCCATGTGGATTTCCGCAGAGCTTTCATGAATGTGCCTTTTCAAACGAATGGTAAGACTAAATCCAAGAACCAAGTGATAGTCAGGTAGGAATATTGGCTTACCTGTGCTAACAAGAGCTTTTATAACCAGACTGAAAGAAGGTTAACGGGACATAACAAGGAAATTCACACCATTAAGATGCTATTAGAGCCCTGTGTTAATGATTACTTTTAGGAGCAAAGAATTTAAATTTGTAAGGTAGATGAAATTCATACTTCTAAAAATCTAATAAATGAACTTATTAAGAAATTTCTAAACCAGGATTACTAAGGTTTATCTAGTCATTCCCAGTGGTCAGAAAAATGCTGAGAATAAAGCTGTTTGGCACCTTATGAGTTGAGGATAGGGTGAAGGGTGAGGACAACCTGATTTTTTAAGTTATTCCCTTGTTTCCTTCCTATGAAGAAGCACATAATTTGCTAATAAAAAGAGAAAGTGGTTTTCAATCAGTAGTTGTGTTTTTCCACAATTGTAACAGTCTACCCATTAAAGATTTTCCATTAAGTTTTTGAAGGAAAAAAAAAAGACTACTAAATCAAATGTTCACAAAGATAGCAAGATATGTTGGTTTCAGAGTGTTAAAGTAGGGAGGATGGTAAAGCAAGAGTTAGAATCGAAGGTATAGAAGCATGATTGCAATTGTTATGAATATTTAAGGTCAGCTCTTTCCCTCTGCTATCCTGAACCTGCCCTCATTGTTTAAGAGGTTGATGGTAGAGACCTTGAAATCCACGGGTTGTGGAAGTTTCAATATTTGGCCAAACCTTTTACTGGAAGCTCAGTACAGTTTGTTGAATCTCTTCATGCATTTCTAGATCTACTCTATATGAGTGGGGTGGGATCCCATATAGGATGGAATGGGAAAAGAAGAGCCTGGTGGTATCTCATGTTCCACGTTGTATGTTCGTGAGATCACTGTCTTTCCTCTCCACTCTGGAAAAACACAGCAAACAATTCTGCCTGTGAGCACTATGCCTGTAGTCATAAAATACTGGAATGCCAAGGCTCTGAACAACTGATTCCTTTATAACTCTGTGTGGACTTTCAAATGCCTGTAATAGGAAATTCCTATCTTGAAATGTAAGACCATAGTTTCTTTGCTTATTCCCTGGCTTGTAAGTGAGGAAATACACATGTATTTGGACATACTCACCAAAAAGTGTAGTATTAACTGAGAAAAGATGATACAGATTGAGGCTATAAAATGTTGTCTTAACATCTGTGCTAGGTTTTAAAATACAAGAGTTCAAACTGTGCTTTTCTACTGTCCTGTAGACTTTATTATCCTGGCAGTATGGGGGATGCTGGCTGTAAGTGGAATTACGCTACAGATTCGAAGAGAAAGAGGGCAGCCGTTTTTCCCTCCCCACCCGTACAAGTTATGGAAGCGAGAGCGTGAGCGCAGAGTGACGAACATCCTGGACCCCAGCCACCACATCCCTCCACTGAGAGAGCGACTCTTCAGCCGATTAGCCCAGATCAAAGTGCTCTTCCGGAAGGAACAGCCGGCGGGAGAGAGAACGCCCCTGCTTCTGTAGATGCCGGAACGCTTGGTCAGGGCAATCTAGAAGTACATCCCAGGCACCGTCTCATGTTCGGTGTTGCTGCCCAGCTGCTTCCGCAGTCTCTGGGGCAAGTCTGCTAAGGAACCGGCTCTGCATCTGTGCTTTGTACTAGAGTACTGTGGTCTCTTTATTGAAAGAGGGTAAGGGCATGCCTGGGAGATGACAGTCATTCTAAGTGAGAGTGTGAAAGGTGGTCATAATGTTGATGGTAAGAAGGTTTTTCTTTATTACCAAATGCTTAAGAAATTACATTTTTGGTTTATAAGTTATGTGTCAACTTACTCCATTAAGTAGATACACTTTTTAAAAAAGAAATTAAAAATTAATGGTTGTTCTGTAAAGCCATGGTGGGTTTTTTTTGTTTTTTTTTTTGTAACTCCTTGAACAATTCTCTCACTGAAGTCTGGCTAAACTTGGGGACCAGGCATGGAGGGCAGTTTTATTTAAATAAATTTTTATTTGCCACTGTGTTTGTAGTTTTGGGGGTTTGGTACTGCACCTTTGAACTTCAGAGTACAAAGGAGGGAGAACTAACTTATTTTCTGACTACAAGCAATCTGATTACTTAGTTGCACATAAATATCATATATTATCAAAAATTACCCTTTTGTTTATCTTTGTGATAAAATACATATTTACCCTATCGATCATTTTTAAGTGTATATATAGTTCAGTTGGTTCCCCTCATCTTTGCCTTTTATTGCTTAAAATGGTAATTTAAATAGCTGAAATATTTCAACCATTTGAAAAGAGGTCAATTTATATAGATGATAAAGCTCTTATATGGATGACTTATTTATATTCCAGATAAAAAGTGACTTTTTTTCCTTTCAAAACCTTTTAAGATAGTTTTGACAGCTGATTTCTAATTTAAACTGCATTCAGTGACATATAAATTGTTTTATTTTGGGGACATAAACTGGCTCCTAGCTTCATCTATAGTCCCATTAATAAGGAAACCTTTAAAATATTTGCATTTTATAGTCCTCTCTGCTAAATTAGTTGTTAGAGCATTGGTACAATTTCAAAAATTTCAGTATGAAGTCTTTGTCCTATCTGTGTTGTAAATTGATGAGGAGAGAAAAAGGACTTAGGTGTTGAATAGAGCTGCTTTCAATGAGGCCCTTGGATTCTGTAAGGAGAGTCCCTTCAGTTCTGATTTTGTTGTGCCAAAAGAAAGAACCCAGATGCCCTGGGCTGCATCCTTGCTCCTCATGGCCTTCTAACAACTGTCAAGAGTCTCCGCCAGGGTTCTACCTTGTATCTGAAGCTGGTGACTGAGATGCCTGAGTGGCTGTGAGGTTAGTTGTGGTTGTCCTCCTCCTATTTGTGAGTTAACCACTATTTAAATGATGCTGCTTTTACAGGTTTTTCAATATACAATAGGTTTTTGACGCTTCCAGTAACTGGAAACTTTTCAGTTTTGCTCTTAAAAGTGTTATGGAAAGGCTGAAACAAAATGAAAAAAAATGTATAATAATTTCTTGCATTGAAAAATTAAATTACACAGGTGTTTATTTACTATTTATTTTGTAATCTTCACTGTTTATATAACTTCAAAAAACACTTGAAGCAAAAAAATGTGGGTTTTTTTTATGATTCACCATAGAGATTCTGTATTCTGCTATATCATAAATTCTAACAAAGTGACATGGAATATTTGTGTTTTTTTTCTATACCATCAAAATGTCTGCCAGTAAATATTATAAAGACAAAATATACTTTCTTGGAGGGGGGATACAAATTGTTTAAATTTTTCATGATAATTTGTGAGTAATAAGCCAGTTTGTTTAATTTTTTAATAATAAATACCTATTTTGAAAAAATGCAAAAAAGTCTCATTATTATAAAATTCTTATAAAATTTTTTACCAACTGTATTTGTACAAAAGTAATAAGACATGAGGACAGTTTCATAGCTATAAACACAAAATTATTTAACTTGGATAAATAATTCTTTATTCCAAAAAATCAGTTAAATAGAAACAGACTCACAGACTTAGAAAATAAATTTATGGTTGTGGGATGGTGTGGGGGTGGGGGGTGGGAAGGTTGAAGGGGAAGTATAGTTAGGGAGTTTGAGATATACATGTACACAGTGCTATATTTAAAATGGATAACTGGCAAGGACCTAGTTTATAGCACAGGGAACTCTGTTCAACATTCCATAACAACCTAATTGGGATAAGAATTTAAAAAAGGATACATGTATATGTTAAAAAAAATCAGTTTAAGCATAAATGAAATGATAGGAAATGAAGGAAATCTGGGGTAATGTGTTAAAGTTTATATCCTTTATTAGAAGGAAAGCTGTTGTCTTTAATGCATTAGTTTGTGTTGATGTCATTAGTACTTTAGTTGTGTCAAACAAAAAAATAATGGTGTTGTCAGAAACTTGTTTCTACCATTTAAATGTTTTAGTTCTGATTAACCTATTATGGATTAGCTATTAGGTTGCCAAACCACAGCAGCTAACCAGTGCTACAGACCTGTTGAGTTCTATATAAAGTGGGATAGAAAAGTGATTCTAACAAAGAAATTGCTACAATGTTAGAGCAGGAATGGACTTTAGATACAATGTTATCTGACCTTAAACATGTAATCACTTATTTTGTACTTGAGGAAATTCTTAAGGAGTAAATTATATAAAGTCACAGTTATCAAATAATAGTGCCCAGAGCAAAATTTGAGAACTCCCTATCCAAATGTGCTTTACACTCTTATTGTGGTGAAAATGTGAATCACTGATTTTTTTTCAATTTTCTTCTGTTGTTAGTGAATTCTTAGAAAGCTCCTGTGCTCCTAATATTGCCACGACCTCTTCTGGGAAGGTGTTAATTTTACACAGTGAAAACATGTTTTTCCAAGTTACAGTCATGGACCATTTTATATTCATTATAAAGTATATAATAGATATTTAGTTTCCAATTCCATAAGTATTTCACCACAGCAGCATTTGTAGTGAATTTTTTGGTTATCAAGTTCACTCCTTGATGATGTACTTGATACCTGTTGTTAACCTTCATTAAAACCCCAGAATTCTTGCTCTCATTTCCTGAAAACTGTAGGCTTTCCCACTGTGATCCAGTCCTTAGGAGCAAGGTTGCCTGTGTTTTCCTTTTTGACATGCATGGAATTGTGCCACCCACCCAAAAATTATATGTTGAAGCCCTCACCTGCCAGTATTTCAGAGTGTGACTGTATTTGGAGAGAAGTGAAAAGTGAAAGTGTTAGTTGCTTAGTCATGCCTGACTCTTTGTAACTCCACGGACTGTAACCCACGAGGCTCCTCTGTCCATGGGATTCTCCAGGCGAGAATCCTGGAGTGGGTTTCCATGCCCTCCTCCAGGGGATCTTCCTGACCCAGGGATCGAACCCAGGTCTCCTGCACTGCAGGGTTCTCCCACACTGCAAGCAGATTCTTTACCGTCTGAGCCACCGGGGAAGCCCATTTGGAGAGAGGGCTTTATAAAGGAGTTAACCGAGCTTCCCTGGTGGTTCAGAGGGTAAAGAATCTGCCCACAATGCGGGAGGCCCCAGTTTGATCCCTGGGTGGGGAAGATTCCCTGGAGTAGGAAACGGCAACCCACTCCAGTATGCTTGTCTGAAGAATTCTGTGGACAGAGGAGCCTGGTGGGCTACAGTCCACGGGACTGCAAAAAGTCGGACGTGACTGAGTGACTGTCACTTAGGTGAAAATGAGGCCATCAGAGCGAGCCCTTAATCCAATCTGAAAGAGATTAGAACATACTAGAACCCTGGGACAGAGTAGGTGTGAGCACACAGTGAGTGTGGCCACCAGCCAGCAAAAGAGAGCGGCCTCGGACGAAACATGCCTTGCTCTTGGACTTGCAGCCTCAGAACTGAGACAATTTCTGATGTGATGCCGCCCGGTCTGTGGGGTTTTTGTTATGGCAACCCTGGCAAATGACTACACCTTACAAGTCCATTTATCCTGCTTGTTGATTGGAAGACACCTGTGCAGTCTGGCTACTACGTTTGCAGGGACCACTCTTTATGCAACTGAGGTAGAGAGGGGCTCAAGTTAGTGGAAACTTGGACTCGCCAGGGACCCTATAATCACGGCACTGGGGAGGCTGGCAGTTCTGGATCAAGTTACATCAGCACCAGGGACAAAATTTTAAAAATTGTAATACCATAATACTCTGATTTGGACCTCACCTTCATTCATCCATGCAATATTTTGTTACGTTCCTAAGTGCCAAGCATTGGCAAAAATCAGGCCCAGTCCCTGCTTCAGGGCTTAGCGTGTGATGAGGCAGACACTAAAATAGTTATCCAAAAGAAATACAATATGCAATGGAAATTTACTATGGAATTGGAGGTAGAATCTCTGATGCCTGGGAAGAATTCCTTGAGGAAATGACATTTAAGTGGAGACCTGGAGGAGGATCTTCATTTTTTGAACATTGAATTTTATGCTAGCCTTTTCACTCTCCTCTTTCACCCTCATCAAGAGGCTCTTTAGTTCTTCTTTACTCTCTGCCATAAGGGTGGTGTCATCTGTGTATCTGAGGTTATTGATATTTCTCCCGGTAATCTTGATTCCAACTTGTGCTTTATTCAGGCAGTATTTCACATGATGTAACCTGCGTATAAGTTAAATAAGCAGGGTGACAACATACAGCCTTGACGTACTCCTTTTCCAATTTGGAATGATGGTTCTATTTCCAAATAGAACAGTGGTCCTAACTATTGCTTCTTGACCTGCATACAGGTTTCTCAGGAGGTAGGTAAGGTAGTCCCATCACTTCATGGCAAATAGAAGGGTAAAAAATGGAAACAGTGACAGACTTTAATTGGGCTCCCAAATCACTGCAGATGGTGACTGCAGGCATGAAATTAAAAGATGCTTGTTCCTTAGAAGGAAACATGATGAACATAGACAGTGTATTAAAATGCAGAGACATCACTTTGCCAGTAAAGGTCCATATAGTCAAAGCTATAGTTTTT